ACGAAAACTATGCTTAGAAGACAAAAACTTTTTTTTTTTTTTGGTACTCATTTTCTTGCAATTTGTGTTTGATTAACAGCTTGATATATTTTCTCATCAAGGAATATATATTGGCCAAATCATTTGATCCTTAATGTCTGCAAATGATGGACTTTGGTTAACTTTTAATGTGATGTTTGCCCTTCCATCCTAAAACTCCTTCCCAAAACCTATGAAATAAACTGATTTCACCGTTTCTGTTCTATTTGCATTTAATTGGCTTCATGCAAACCTCATCATTGAAGTATTTTCTAGCTGGCAAAATTATATTTATATGGAACAGAAAATTTATTTACTTCCTTCCACTTAGTCGATGAGAACTTGCATCTGAAGCTATATAAAAAAAAAAAAAAAGCAGTCAATAAACAGTACACTGGCCGAAACTGGTAGACAAATCTACAGACTACGGAACATCTGCATTAGATGTATGGTGTCTTATAATTCTTTTTTCCCTCGCCACTTAAATCTGCGTGTGTTATTTTTTCCCAATAATTTTACTGTGCATTCTCTATACATTAAAATATTTTGTGGAAATTCTGTACTCTCAGGAGCATTGGCAATTGGTAATAACTTTCTATGAATATCTTTTGTGGTATAAGCCAAAACCTGGCTGTCATGACTTTGTGTTTTAGAGGGTTTTTGACGTCCTTCCTTAGAACTTCCCCGGAAGACCTTTAAGGAGATACTTTTAAGATGATAACTTTATTGCAACAAGGTATGCAGCTTGACTCCAAAAGGAGAATCAAGCAGACCTGAAAATTCAAGTCTTGAGAGACCAATCAGAAGTCAAAAGAGCTATGGTCTGTGGTTCAGCTAATTCAGAAAGAGGGTAATTACAGAAAATTATATAAGTTTGCATGGAATAGTCACTAAACTCTTTAACTTGTGAATACAGCCCCAAACATCTGTTTTGGCGACCTCTTGCTGCTTTACAAATCACTGTTAAACTTACTGGCTTAAAATACTTATTTTGCTCAGGAATCTGTGATTTGGAAAGGTTCACTTGACATAGTTAATCTTTGCTACATTTTGTGTCAATTGTGTGGATCCAAAGGGAGAGCGATTTAGAATCATCTGAAGGCTTGCGCAGGCACACGTTTGGTGGTTGATGCTGCCTGTCAGTTCAGATAACAAGTGGAGGTCTTGGTCAGAACACCTATAGGTGGCCTTTCCATGTTTCCTGGGTTTCCTCACAGTGTGGTGGCTGGGTTGTAAGGGAGGAGGGAGAGAAGGAAAGGAGGGGGAGAGAGTGAGAGGAAAAAGGGGTTCGTGGAGAGACAGAGACCAGATGAACCTATGTCTCTATTGCCTTTGATAGCTTTTAGAAGTCACATGGTATTATTTCCAATACATTTTGTTCTTTGGTGTAAAACCCTGCTCAGTCAAAGCTGGAAGGGAGACGGTCTCCGTTTATGGGTAATGTGAGTGGCCAGCTCCTGGAAGGTCACATGGATTGGAAATATTGCTGTGGCCATTTATGAAAATATCAGTTTGCTTGGTTACCTGTATTCTCTTATCCATGACCTCAGACTAAGTGATTCTGTTGAGTGAGGCACCAGTATTCAATAGTATATATAGAAAGCAGAAAATAAGGATACAGATTGAAATGCTTTCCTGTGATTAATAGGTAGCTCCTTTATAGTTTGTTTTTGGTTTTCTTTCTGGGATGCTGTCCTTGTTTGTCCTTAAGAGGCAGGGCTGAAATTGCAAAGTGCAGGATTTTATGTTATGCCAGCTTTTTGAAAGGTGCTGTGATGTATTTCATCGGAATGACCAGTGTTCAAGTCTCAGTTCCTTTACTTACTAGCCATGTGACATTAGGACAGTTATTTAGCCTCTCTGAGTTCACACCTTTACAAAGTCATGGTGATGATAACCTTCCATTGAGAGGTGGTTTGTAAAATAGAGAAATATTATATGTAAAGGGATGGGGGTCCTGGGGTTTCAGATATTATCTGAGGCAGATTGATGAAAATGTGTGATTTAGGATTATGATCTTTGATTATGACCAGAATGATGGATTAAGAAACCAGTTTAGAGTATGTAGATACTTCAAAGCTAGAACCTATGTTGGTGCCTGTGACTGGAATCAATTCCAATCAAGGAAAACCTGTGAAGGAATTTGGAATGTTATCTCCATTTTGAAGGGTATATTATTCTTTATAAGCTATTCATCAACTTTTTGCTGAAATGAATGTTTCAAATTTATTAAAATAACATTTAATTAAGGTGTTTTATTGAATGCCTTAATACCTTTGTTTGAAATGTTTTATATTTAGTGAAAATTCTTACTTTTTTTCTATTTTTATTTTTCTAATTGTAAAAGTAATAAAAAAGCAGCTGAGGAAATAACTTGCCTATGATATCATTATCCAGAGGCAGGCTATTCATATTTGACATATTTCCTTTCATTAAAATTTTCTTTTTTAAGTATAGTCTCCACACCCAACATGGGGCTTGAACTCATGACCCTGAGATCAAGAGTTGCATGCTCTACCGACTGAGCCAGTCAGGTGCCCCTCATTTTTTTCCTTTGAAATTTTATAGTTTTCCATAGTTAAGAACATGGAATTTATGATTTTATAACTTTTTTTTGTAATTTAATTTTATATCATAATTATTCCCCACAAGTCATTACAATTGCTTCTATCATATGGCTGTATCATAATTGATTTAGTTTTTTTGTAATTTTTTTCTGAAATATAAATAATATTGTGATGCATATATATGTGAAAGTCTATTGTCATTATTTTTTTTTTTTTCTGTAGGATATATTACTAGAAAGAAAATTACTGGAGCAAAGGGTATCAATATTTTTAAGGCCCTTGATATATATGTTGACCTTGCTTTTCAGAGGCGCCTTGCTGGCTCAGTTGGTGGAACCTGCTACTCTTGGTCTTGAGGTTGTAGGTGTGAGCCCCATGTTGAGTGTAGAGATTACTTAAAAATAAAATCTTTAAAAAAATAGCTTTCTATAAAGTTTTACCATTTTATATTTCCACTGACATGAGAAAAGCAGTACTGATCATTTTATAAATAAAGTTGGTGAATTTGATAGTTAAAAGGTATCATTTATAAAATTTGTATTTATTCTGTATTTGTTCAAGTGAAATTTTCTTTCTAATATTTTGATTTATTTTTCATTTTAATTTGCATGGATTTTCTATATGTTAGGGATATAACCTTTTCATATTATTTTATCTAGGTTTGGAGAAATTTAACATTCATTATATTTCATTTGTGTTCCTCTAAATAGCTTAAGATTTATTCTTATCACTTCATACAAAAGATATTCTAATTAACCTAAATGATAGTTATTATTTTTTCCATAGTAGTTCTTACTTTTAGTATCCTTAATTTACATAGTATCTTATTTTTAGCACATGTTGTTCATTTAAGGTCAATTTGTAGCCCTTTACTCTTTTTTTTTTTTTCCAAGATCACTTTTTAAAAATTTTATAGATTTATTTATTGAAGAGAGAGTGAGAGAGAGAGAGAGTCCTAAGCAGACTCTGTGGTCTTTTTTGCCCAAATTACGTTTTTGGACTCATGTTGGTTTAGACAGATATTGTTGTAGTTCAATCACTCTCAGAATGTGGTCTTCAACCAGCAACTTTAAAGTACATTTGTAGATTTAAAGTAGATTTGTACCCATTTACTCTTAAGAGTACTCTTGCACTCTTACACTTCTTCTTCCTCTTCTTTTTAAAAGATTTATTTATTTTAGAGAGAGAGGAGGAGAAGGAGAGAGAGAGTCTTAAGCAGGCTCCATGCCAAGCCTGAAGTGGGGCTCAATCTCATGACCCAGAGATCAGGACCTGAGCTGAAACCGAGTTGGATGCTTAACTGACTGCACTACCCAGCTGCTCCTCAAAATCACTTTTTCATAAAATTTTCTCAATTAGAGATTTTCAGAAACATTGGAAATTTTTTCATTCATCCAATATATATCTGTTTACTCTTTTAAATTATGCTTGTTAAACTTCAGATAACTTCATATATTGGCTATTGTGAAGGGATATTTTTCATATATAGAATTGTTTTTCTCACTGGCAAATTTTCTAAATTCTAATGGAGTGTTTTAGGAGATTGTGGGTGATACCAAAGTTAATCAGATTATTTGAAAGTTAAGATTCTTATCTTTCCCTTTAAAATTTTTTCAAGTGTTAATTTACAGAAAAGTGCAAAAAGTATAGAGGAAATTACAGTGTAGCTCTATTGCAGCTCATCTAAATCTGAACTTTTTTGCCATGTTTACTTCAATTTTTTACTTTTTAATTATTTGAGAACTAGAATTTTATAGACAGAGGGAGGTGAGGCCTTTTCTCTGGTGGTAATTCCTAGTTCTGTTCTTTCCCCACCTCCAGAGGTTCCAAGTATTTTGAATTGGGTGTTTCCATTGTCACACTTGTTTTCATGCTTTTATTTAATACATATGTATTTATGACAAAAACCTTACATAAACAATAACTATACCTGTCCTTTTTCATTTTGCTCTTTTTTGCCTAAATTATGTTTTTAGACTCATGTTGGTTTAGCAGATGTTGCTGTAGTTCAGTCGCGCTCAGAATGTCGTCCCCAACCAGCAACTTGAGCTTCACTTGGGAACTTGTTAGAAATACAAAATTCTCAGGCCAGGACCAGATACATTTGTGCAGTCCAGTGCAAAATGAAAATGCTGGGCCCTTTGTTCAAAAACTATTAATAACTTGCAAATAGCAGCAGCAGAGCATTAAATCAAGAGTGAGGACCCTTGTAAACATGTTCATGCACACCTTATTCCAGACCTGCTGAACCAGAAACTCTGAGAATACGGCCCAGCAGCCTGTGTTTTAACAGGCCTTCCAAGGTGATGTTATAGATATTTAAGTTTGAGACCATTTGTATTAGTTTTTCAGGGCTGCCTTAACAAGATATTATGGACTGAGTGGCTTAAATGACAGAAATTTATTTTCTTACAGTTCTTGGGGCTGGAGATCCAAGATGAAGGTGTCAGCAGATTTGCTTTATTCTGAGATCTCCTTGGCTTGCAGATGATCACCTTTCTGCTGGTAACTTTATATGCTTTGTCCTCTCGTGGTGTGTGGGTGGACATCTCTTATGTCTCTGTGTGTCTGAATTCCCTCTTCTTTAAGGAGATTAGTCCTGTTGGCTTACAATCCACCCTAATGGTTTTGTTTTAATTTAATCACTTCTTTAAAGGTCCTATATCCAAATATAGTCACATTCTGAGATACTGTGGGTGAAGGCTTCTAGGTCCGAATTTTGGGGGAACACAGTTCTTCCCCATAGCACCACTGCTATAGGTCAGTGAGTTTTAGGACTATTATATTCGGTTGTATGATTATGTCCTTATTTCTCTCTTTTATGTGGTTAATTGAACTTTAGATTATTTTCCATTTTTGCCACTATGTCAATTCTACTCTATCAGTTTCTTTTGATGTATAGTTCCTTTTTTGGCTTTTATTTATTTTTGATATGATATCTTTGTAGACTTCAAGGGTCTGATGTCAATTGAATTAAAACGAACAAAACAAAATCATGTACTACCCTTTGTTTAATGGAGGGCTGTAATCTATAAGCTGTTAATTTTGCTGGCATGTTATTTTAAATGGTGGTGGTTTTGTTTTATGAGACTGGATTTTCCATGTCATCCAGCACATGTGGTTTTGGACTGTATTTTGAGTTAACTACACAAGCTACTATTTCCATATATGGGTGTGTTTCTCATAATGATACTAAATAAATAAGTTCCTTTCTCTGTTTGTAAATAAAAGAGAACAGTTAATCTATCATTGTGTATGTACTGTCTTGGGTTTTCATGACCTTTTGCAGCTCATTTTTATCATCTGGGAATGTACCGAAGTCCCATTGTTGTGAACTGCTTATGCTGCAAAGAGTAATAATGTGTTTTTTTTTTTTTTTTGGTGGGGGGGATACTTGTTAATGTAATTTTACTGAAACTTAGGCTTACTTTTTATCAAAAGGTAAAGTTTTGTACCAGGCTAGGGCAACATTTTTTTCTTTGTATAAGATTTCCACATATTTGTTGTGTAATTTATAATTTTATTCCTTTTATCCAAATTTAATTCCCTTCCTCCTCCACCACACCCCACCTCATAACTTGTAACAAATGCATATTATATGGGTTGCTGATAGTTTTGAAAGTCTGCTGGATTCATTGAGGATCCATCAATTATCTGGATATAGACCAGATAGTCTCCCCAGTAGCTTCTACCCTGCTAAACCTTTGGCTGTTTTCCACCTTGTTAATTATATCTCCATTATGAAGGCATGCTGTACCAAAAAGGAGATATACACCATCTTGCTAATTTTTACTAGTTCCTCTTTGCTGGCTGAACCTGGTATAGAAGTTGTTTTAGTGCTTATATTGAAAACTACAAGACATTAATGAAAGAAGAAGTTGAAAAAGACTCAACAAATGGAAATGTATTCCATGTTCGTGGTTTGGGAGAATTAATATTATTAAAATGTCGATATTACCCCAAGCAATATATACATTCAGTGCAATCTCTGTCAAAATTCTGATGGCATTTTTCACAGAAATAGAACAAACAATAATTGACTCTTTATGTTATAGGTAAGGCTTCCAGCTAATAGTAGGCTACTAGTAGTTAAGTTTTGGGGGAGTCAAAAGTTTCAGGAAGAGTTTTGACTGCTTTGGTGTTCAGCAGTTCTACCCCTTATATTGTTCAAGAGTCTTCTGTACACTATGATCTAGGAACTCCACTTCTCGGTATATATCCAAGGAAAACAAAAACACTAACTTGAAAGAATATTATGCACCCCCATTTTTTTTTTTTTATTTTCAGCATAACAGTATTCATTGTTTTTGTACCATACCCAGTGCTCCATGCAATCCGTGCCCTCTCTAATACCCACCACCTGGTTCCCCCAACCTTCTACCCCTCGCCCCTTCAAACCCCTCAGATTGTTTTTCAGAGTTCATAGTCTCTCATGGTTCACCTCCCCTTCCAATTTCCCCCAACTCCCTTCTCCTCTCTAACTCCCCTTGTCCTCCATGCTATTTGTTATGCTCCACAAATAAGTGAAACCATATGATAATTGACTCTCTCCACTTGACTTATTTCACTCAGCATTATCTCTTCCAGTCCCGTCCATGTTGCTACAAAAGTTGGGTATTCATCCTTTCTGATGGAGGCATAATACTCCATAGTGTATATGGACCACATCTTCCTTATCCATTTGTCCATTGAAGGGCATCTTGGTTCTTTCCACAGTTTGGCGACCATGGCCATTGCTGCTATAAACATTGGGGTACAGATGGCCCTTCTTTTCACTACATCTGTATCATTGGGGTAAATACCCAGTAGTGCAATGGCAGGGTCATAGGGAAGCTCTATTTTTAATTTCTTGAGGAATCTCCACACTGTTCTCCAAAGTGGCTGCACCAACTTGCATTCCCACCAACAGTGTAAGAGGGTTTCCCCTTTCTCCACATCCCCTCCAACACATGTTGTTTCCTGTCTTGCTAATTTTGGCCATTCTAACTGGTGTAAGGTGATACCTCAATGTGGTTTTAATTTGAATCTCCCTGATGACTAGTGATGATGAACATTTTTTCATGTGTCTGATAGCCACTTGTATGTCTTCATTAGAGAAGTGTCTGTTCATATCTTCTGCCCATTTTTTGATATGATTATCTGTTTTGTATGTGTGGAGTTTGAGGAGTTCTTTATAGATCCTGGATATCAACCTTTTGTCTGTACTGTCATTTGCAAATATCTTCTCCCATTCTGTGGGTTGCCTCTTTGTTTTCTCTACTCTGTTTTCTTGACTGTTTCCTTTCCTGTGCGGAAGCTTTTGATTTTGATGAAGTCCCAAAAGTTTATTTTCGCTTTTGTTTCCTTTGCCTTTGGAGACATATCTTGAAAGAAGTTGCTGTGGCTGATATCGAAGAGATTACTGTGTTCTCTTCTAGGATTCTGATGGATTCCTGTCTCATGTTGAGGTCTTTTATCCATTTTGAGTTTATCTTTGTGTACGGTGTAAGAGAATGGTCGAGTTTCATTCTTCTACATATAGCTGTCCAGTTTTCCCAGCACCATTTATTGAAGAGACTGTCTTTTTTCCACTGTATATTTTTTCCTGTTTTGTCGAAGATTATTTGCCCATAGAGTTGAGGGTCCATATCTGGGTTCTCTACTCTGTTCCACTGGTCTATGTATTATACACCCCCATTTTTATTGAATTCTTATTTACAGTAGCCAGGACATGAAAACAACTTGGATATTCATTGATGGAGGATGGATAAAGAAGTTGTGATACACACACACCCACAGGTGCGCGTGCGTGTGCACACAGAGTGAGTAAATAGAATATTATTCAACCATAAAAAAGAACAAAATCTTGCCATTTGCCTCAAAGTAGATGGATCTCAAGAGAATTGCATTATAAGTCAGACGAGAAAGAAAAATACTGTACGATCTCTCTTATATGTGGAATGTATCCTTCTGTCTGTCTTTCTACAAACAAAACCAGGCTCATAGATACAGAGAACAGATTGATGGTTGCCAGAGGCATGGGGCGGGGGAGGGGGAAGTGGTAGGAGAAATGGGCAAACTCTTGTTGTTTTGTTTTATTTTATTTTTTCCATTTAATTCATTTTCATTTTAATATATTTTAAATAAATTTTAATAAATAACAATGTTTTAGGATGATAATTGAGACGGTTGTGGTCTGGTGGCATTACCACTTGTTAACTTTGTAAATTGTCAGGACTTACCTCAGACCTGTTGAATCAGATGCCTTGCCAGTGATTTCCTAGCTTTCATACGGTTCTCTTAGGACAATGTATTATGTATACTTTCTGACAGTATGCTAGAGTTGATAGAGCAAGTCTTAGTGCATGTGTATGGTGGGGAGGTGAAGTGAGGGGTGGGCTAAGCTAGAAGAATGTGAAAAAAGGGGGTTTGAGCCCTTACCTTTTACTGGCAAATGTATAGTGACCTTCAGGGATGGACTCTTCATTCTTATTTCTTCCTTTGTGTTTTTTCACTCAGTGTCAGCACGATGCTGCTGAGTTTATGCATGCTCTTGGTGTGCATTTGTTGTCCCTAATTTCAAAGTGAAATGAATGATTCGTTGACTGTTTACCCATGTAAGGCCTGTGTTTGGCTCTTTAGAGATAAAGGAAATGCAAGTTGTCCTCACCCATATGCTTGGGCTTCATAGACCTGGATTCAAATTCTGGCTCTAAATTTGACTTGTAGTGTAGTCTTTGGTAGAGTTCTTAATCTCTCGACATCTCATTTTCTTCCGTTATAAAATGAAGGTAACACCTACTGTGCATTTCTTACTGGGATGTTCGGGGGATTAAATGAAGTAATGTATATGTGCTTTAAACATAATAGGCACTCAGTACATGGTAGCTGGATGCTATTATCGTTATAATCATCATCATCTAGTTATTTCTGTATTTGAACATCACACTGGACTCTACAGGGCATGCTATATTAATGGTCTAGGTGACACTTTTCAGGAATTGCTTTCCTGGCTCTGTGATGATTCCATCACTGTGGATAATTTAATTAGCCCTTGCCTGCTGAGTACTGTGGCTGTGGCAGTCAGTAAGAGAAATGTGGTATACAAAGATCCAGGACTTTGGAATCGAGCAGATCTTGATCTGTCATTACTCCAGCAGTCACTAGCTGTGCACCTTGGGCAAGATGCTTAACTTTTCTTTCTCTATTTTCTCATCACCAAGGAAGCCTTATTGTGAATGGGGGTGAATGGGGTTGGGTGAGTGTTGTTATTGTGGCAGTATTGTGGCAAATTTGAGGATGTATGTAAAGCACTTGGCTTATAATAGTCACAGAATAATTTTTGCAACAAATATTGCCTTCACCTACTCCACTTTACTCATCACAGAGTTTCATCGTCTGTCTTATCTTATGTATGTTGAGATTTCTTCCACTTTTTACTCTTAGAGACCTAGGGGTACAAAAGGATAAGCCACTAGCTGGAAAAGGAGTAAGTTAATAAAACCAAGTTTATCAAAGGATTCTTC